GCCCCCTACATAAATCAAACTGTTATATCTCAGTGATATATCGTCTGATCTGTACCAGATTTTTGGTGCTTGATTAGTGACGACTTATGGACACAGTGGTGTTGTTGTTTATTATTTGACTCAAGTGCGCCCCCCTACATTATTACAGTTGTTATATATGCTGTTGCAGCTGATGTTAAAGGTTCTGTGAATGCGCACTCCGGAAAATGGGCGCGTGACAGTAGCGTGAGCGTTCTCAATGGCGACCGGGAAGAGTAGCTCGAGTTCCCGCGGTCGCCATGAGGCCGCAGCGGCGCTTAGCTGCGAGGGCCTTCAACGCTGCTTGCAGCTTTAATTATTATTGTTCTTGTAATATCTAAAAAAGTTAAGACTGGTCTCCAGGACATTCACAAAACAAAACAAAATTATTAGGTTGATGACAACAAAGTCCATGCTCAATAATCCAGGTATACAATCTAACATTTTTCAGTCAGGTCATCTGGACAGTTTCTTTTTTTTTTGAGTGTTGAAACGTTTCGCCTTCGATCCAGAAGACTTCATCAGTCAAGGAAACGCACAACACAAAACTGATTCTTCCCCAGCTTACTCCAAAGTGGAACAAACCAGTTATGTTGGTGCTAAGATGGTCTCTTTGTCACGCCCCCTCCTCCATTGCCGGCCGGCCCTCTTCCTTGTTGACAGTCGTGTCAAACTGGTTGAAAACAACAAAGTCCATGCTCAATAATCCAGGTATACAATCCAACATTTTTCAGTCAGGTCACTGTTAGGCTGATGGTCCTCCTTGATCATATGAGCAGCTGGTTTTGGTTGTCAGCAGCAAACGGGTTGATCCACTAAGAGAAGGTGCTATTTATAAGACTGAGCTGAACCCAGCTCCTCAGACTGAAGAAGTCTTTCGGATAAAAGACGAAACGTTTCTACAATTTTTTTTGTTTTGTTTTGTTTTTTGAATATCCAGAGGACCAGACTTAACTTTTTTAGATTTTTCTACCTGGATTACTGAGTATGCATCAGGATGTTTTTTTTTTTTGTGTGTAATGATTTCTATATGATTCTGTTGAATATTTTAAGTTCAGCTTTTGCAAATTGTTGCATACATTTACAGAGTTTTAAGAACTAATTATTCAACTTTACATTTATTTTTTAAACCATTTTACATGGTTTCAAGTAATTGTTCATTTAGATTATTTAAGTACTTCCTTGATATTTTTTTATTTTTATTTTATTTAGTCTGTTTTTGCACAATTTTTATGCATCTAAGTTATTTTATCTGTTTGTTGTTGATCTTGCACTACAAATTATTTTGAACATTACTGTTGCAGTTCTTTGGAACCAAAGATAATTAACCAGATGACACTTTTGCTGTAAAATACATTGGGTACTGGTGGTTTTTTTGTGTTTTGTTTTTTACTTTTAGTACCACTACATGATATGTACATGTAGGATAATGTAAACTGAGCTGTCAGAGTTGCATTGAGTTTGTTAGGTGGGTGAATGACCTGATCATCTGACTGTTGATTGCAGTAATCCACATTATTAGCAGAAACAGAGAGCCCCAAATCAAATTTCGCATAGGGCCCCATGGAGGCTTGGGCCGGCACTGAGTAGCGACTTCTGATTTTAAAAGTAGCCAAGTAGATTACATGATCTAAATTGTACTTGAGCATGAGTAAAATTACACACTTGAAAGAAATACTCATAAAAGTACAAGTCCCCCCCCCAAAAAAAAAATCTACTTAATTACAGTAACGTGAGAATTTGTAATTGTTGCTTCCACTGCTGAGAACAAATACATGTTATATGTTCATACATGAACATTAAATAATTTTTTTTATTATTTGTTTCACAGTAAAAACCTGTAGAGTGCAAATAAAGTGACTTTATACTGCCAAACAAAAGAAATGAAAAGAACTACTGACAGAAACAGAAAATGATACACTGTGGCATAACAACATAAAAGACCGTTGAGGAAGAACATTCCTATTTGTACCTTGAGGTCACGGTGCACAATGCCCAGGTCATGGAGGTATTTAACTGCATCCAGAATCTGCTGAATCAGCTTACTGGCGTCTTTCTCCGTGTAGAAGCCCTTCTCTATGATACGATCAAAGAGCTCCCCACCAGATACCCTGCAGAAAGCAATTCGGTTAAACTTGTCAAATGTTAGGAAAAAAATGGAGGGGAAAAAAACAAAAACAAGAATGCAGTAAATTTTAATGAGTATGGTTATAAAAGTGTGTCAGAGAAATAATTAAAAAAAAACAAGAAGTATGAAAAGGGTATGAGGAAATCAACAAGAGGAAATGAAAAGCAGGAACTTATTACTAACCAGAAGTATTTTTGTTCTAGCAGTTGTCACATATATGACTGCTGTGAAATGTTTTTGTAGTTCTATGTATTTAATAATAAAATGCACAAAGTATAGAATCCTTTAATTTAAAAGTTTGATTTATATCCACTAGATGGAGACAAATCTCTGCATAAAAGGTTCACCAGCAAGATAAAAGATAAAACTAACTTGCATACAAAAAAAAAAAAGAATAGAAATTATGGACCACAGTCTGTTTGTGACTTTAAAAGGTGAGCAAATTGTACGAGTTGTGTATTACAGAGCTTAGATTTCAAAGTCACTCAAATTAATTGAGAGTAAATTTAAACAAACTACAGCTGAGGACGCATCATTTGTGCGTCGGTCCTGTTTTAATAACGACCATCCTGCTCTCCGCCTGCTGCCTTTTTATTTTTTCTGCTCCGACTGTGATTAATGCATAAATGATTTATACTTGGAGGAGTCTGACGGGTAACAGTGCTCCTGATCCTGGTCTTGGCCTTGATCTGGTTCCTCTCTGACATTTCAGCAGTGGAGGTGGGTGTGACGCCGACACGCTGCTGGTGTGAGGGCAAACTCCCTGCTGCTGCTCACGGGTAGCGCCTCAGTGTGCTCAAGGCATGTGACGGAGAGCGTGTGGGAGATGGCACGAGTAGGCAGTTTGGAAACGCACATCGCACAAAAAGAAATCACACATTGCCGCACATATGTGAATACTCACAGTTGCATGACAAGATAGAGGTGTGACTTGCTCTCAAATATCTCTTCCAGGGACACAATGTTGGGGTGTTTAATCCTGTGAGAAAGAAGAGAATTATTATTTTAAAAAGACAGTTTGTGCTGTTCATGTTCTTATAACCCTAAATATAATTATGTTTCACTAAACGTGTGTGTTTGCAGGTGGCAGATTTAAACCTGGTCTTATGTATGAAAGTACAGAAAATCTTTTAGTTGAGCGTTAAAACCTTGAGCAGAGTTGGGACACGGTTTATCTTTATGAATGTGGAGGAAGTGTCACTGTGCATGGACATGCAGCTCCCTGACTGGCTGAACGGTGTGTTCCGATGACCTTTGACACCTGTCAGGGCTGTAAAAGTCATGGGGAAATGACGCACCGACTCAAGACGGGTAAGGTACTTATCTGTCTAATCATCCATCCATCCATTATCGTTTACCCACTTCTTCCTTTTTGGGTTGCGGGGATCACCGGTGCCCATATCCAGCAGTCACTGTGCGAGAGGCAGGGGACCCTGGACTGGTCTCCAGTCCATCACAGGAGCACAAAGAGATAAACGAGACAACCATTCACTCTCTCACTCACACCTAGGGACAATTTAGAGTTACCAATCAGCCTAACATGCATGTTTTTGGTCTGTGGGAGGAAACCGGAGTACCCAGAGAAAACCCACACATGCACAAAGAGAACATGCAAACTCCCCACAGAAAGATCCCCAGTCAGGATTTGATCCGGCATCCTTCTCGTTGAGAGGCAACAGCTCTACCAACTGAGCCACCATATTTTGTCAAACATCTTCCTCCTGACACTTAGTAATAAAACAAAAGTCTAATTGAATAATAAATAGTATCAATATAAGTACGTCAGACTACACGCTAGAAACAAGTGGATATCCACTCTTACATAGTAAATATCTGACCTGCTGTAGATATCTTTTTGATCAACCTCAGATTGATAAAGTTTTAATCTGAGTGGATTTACAAGATAACCAATTAGTTCAAGCAAGTTAATGGCTAGCCTGAGTTGATTGCTACCATCCTAAAACAACTTCAGTTTCAACAATTATGTGTATTGTTGAATATTTAAAACGTAAAAGTTCACAAGGACACCATTATATAAACCTTTACACCACTGTTATTTATGCATTACAGAGTTGTGTTTACATTGAGTTTTATGGTTATCTCAAAGTGTAAATGTATGGCAGCAGCAGCCAGCTGCCGCCCTTCTGGTGCACTTCCTGCAGGAATGTTTTAACGTTTTGCTGGAATAAACGTGCAAAGTGATATTATAAATGTGTTTGCTCAAACCACTATAAAACGTTTAAACAGCAGAAATCCAATTTGAGTCTCGTATATTATTAGCTGTTAGCTCATCAATCCAATCAGAATTTATCTATTTCTACAAACATAAGATGTTCAACAAGCTATCCACAGCAGGTAAGCTATTAACTACTAATTACCCTGCTCATTCAAAAGATGGGAACTATATTTTTTAAACTCGACTTTTTCATGTTGCTGGTCGTCTTTCCACCACATCATACACTCAGACAGTGTAAGTCATTAATCTCAGAACCTTGATGTGTCCACAGTGTACCAGAGGTTACTCATTATGGGTCAAGCTCAAGCAAGATGACATAGATAACTCTTATCCAGAGTGTAATGATACGCGGACACTTCTATTCCTCTGCTTAGGACAGTGTGGACAGAGAGATGGACCCAGTGAAGGATGAGGGATGGATTAAAACTGCAAAGGGGTCAGTCACATGTGATCCATTGTGAGCTTAGGCTTGCAGTAGAACAAGCAGCATTCTGCATTAAGCAGCATTTCTGTGCAGGTGCAAAAGGGTTTACTGGGCACGCTGCAGGAGGTTCACCTGTCTCTGAATTTTGTGTTGAAAAAAAAAGTGACGATTAAATTTTAAGGTATCGCCCTGATCAGAAAAGTGCTACAAGTATACAACTAATTTTAAATGAATTAAATAAAACAAATATACAGTGAGAAAAACATTTATTTTCAAAGGAGAGACTGAAGGTCAGCTGTGGCTCTGACTTGACTGGAACAGGGTAAGTTGGAAATATTTAACACCAGAATGAAAATTGTCACGTGAGAGCAAAGTGCTGTGGTCAAAACAAAAGAATAGGTTTACCATAAATCTTCAGCGTTGTGCAATAAATTAAATATCAGAACAAGAAAAAATAAGTAGAGTGAGAGTAAGCTTCTGTTGTGGGACAAATCACATTTGATTTTCTGCATTTACATACATGGTTTGTTATTTTATCTAAGCTTGCCTGTGAATTATCACAATATGAGCTGTTGGTAATAATCACAAAGGCCTTAATGAGCCACTGCTTGTTTAATGTTGTGCAACTGCAATGCAACATAGTTGATAGTTGGTTTATAACTGGGGTAGCTGCTGCGATGTCTATTTATAGAAACACTTTTTACTCAGTTGACATCTAAAGCAAAAGGTATTCAGTGCACGCTCCATGAACCAAATAAGTTGATAAATTTCCAAAATGACTGAAATATTTGAATGCAAATTTGACAAAAACCCTCTCACAACCACTTTATCTTACTATATGCGGACTCCATCAGTTGTCACTACTTTTTTCCCAAAAGCTTATTGGATGACATCCCTGTAAGTGAACATCGAGTATTTTCTATATTGATATGTCCTTACTGAGACCAAAAAGATCCAACAACAGCCACATTAATAGGATATTCTGCTTGTCTTAAGGCTTGTTCTCTTCATCTCAAACATGCATAAGCAAGAATTATGATGAAGAAATGTTAAACTATTTGTGAGACCAAGGTGATGATTGTAAAACGGCCACTCACACCTACTCCTTGGCCATTAGCTACGTTACAAAGGGCAGTACCGGTAGCTAAACACACCTCAGACCATTCTGACCAGCATTTTTTACTTCTTGCTCTACTGCTCCATGATAATCAGAATGTCCAGTGGCTCACCAAGAAAAGTTTTCCTGATGGGTAGTCCAGTCTAACAGCTCAGGTGTCTTTCAGTTTTGGAGCAACAATGCAATTAGTGGCCTTTGACAAGTATTGTAGTATTTCAAACCTTGTTTTATCTTGTGTATCGTGTGTACCACAAGGCTCAGTATTAGGACCCACCCTCCTCACAATCTACATAAGTAATGCAGGTCAGATCATTCCTGACGCATCCTCACATTTCTATGTTGACGATACAGTTGTTTACTGTCAAGATAAAACAGTTGATAAGGTTTTCCAGCTTTTGCAATCTGCATTTGACATCATCCAGTCAGATTTGTTCTGTCTCAAACTTGTGCTAAATGCTGATAAAACCAAAGGGATGCTTTTTTCAAACAGGAAGTCGGTCTCAACAGTCCTTCCGTCTGTTATCTTCAAATAGTGTTCCCATTGAGATTGTCGATTCTTACAAATACTTGGGTATCTTGGTCGAGTTGCATCTCTCTTTTAAGCTCCACGTGGAAAACTTGGTAAAGAAAGTGAAAGTAAACTGTTTCTTTTTCAGAAATAGATCCTGTCTAACTCTGAATGCTAGGAACAGTCTTATAACTGCAACTTTCCTTCACTCCATTGACTATGGTGACATTATTTACATGAACGCTCCTACAAGCACGCTGCAGATGTTGGGCGCTGTCTATCACGGTGTGCTAAGATTCATAACAAGCTGTAACTACCATACCCACCATTGCACCCTGTATTCACTGGTTAACTGGTCATCCATCAACTTCATGCAGACTCTCTCACTGGTACATTTTCATCTTTAAATTTACATGTCTCTGTGTGAGTGCAACTACAACGTGCGCTCTCAGGACATCATTACCTGCAGTGTTCCCTCACTGAGGACTGAACTAGGCAAAAGAGCCTTCTCCTACTCCGCTCCTGTTTCCTGGAATATCTTACAAAAAGACTTGAAGCTCTCGACCTTGACCTCTCTAAGTGGCTTCAAATATCTGCAAAGTTCATGTCCATTATCTTTACCCACTTCTGGGGGAACGTGTGCCCATGTCCAGCTATCACTGAGCGAGAGGTGGGGGACACCCTGGACAGGTCTCCAGTCCGTCACAGGGACACATGGAGACAAATGAGACAAACAACCATTCACTCTCTCACTCACACCTAGGGACAATTTAGAGTTACCAGTCAGTCTAACATGCATGTTTCTGGTCTGTGGGAGGAAACTGGAGTACCCGGAGAAAACCCACGCATGCACAGAAAGAACATGCAAAATCCAGGATTTGACCGGGATTTGAGCCGGGGACCTGCTCGCTGAGAGGCAACAGCTCTACCAGTTGTGCCACCGTGCTGCCCTCATTTTCGTCTATTTATTTATTCAATTCAAATGCTTTCTTTTATGATTGTCTATTGTTGTCACTGCTGTCTACTGTCATCACTCTGTTAAAAACGGGTCTCTCTTGTAAATGAGTCATCAAGGCTCGATGACCTGTATAAATAAAGTTGACTGAATGAATCTGCATGTAAATCTCAACACTGTCTTGAAAGAACCCTGTTTGTTAAATAATAATTAGAAATACAGTTTGCTCCTGATGTTGGATGAATTGGAATAGGTCCATGATGGTTTGGCGTACACACAGAACTTTAGTAGTAAAGTGGAGGGGGTTTATCCTTGTGGGGGGAGCATATTGGGATCCTGGGTTGAGTGTGATGGCAGCGGAGGCAACGTATCCATAGCATGGGGCCCAAGCACACCTGCGTGACAAGGTCATGGAAACAACCTTAAGCAGATGTGATACCAGGGCACGATCTTCTAACAAGTAGCTGCATCCTGATGTGATCTGAAAGCGTCAGTCAGGGCGGGTGTACAGAGCGTGGTGAGGAAGGCACAGGACAGTATTTTTTTAAAGATGTGGAAAATAGATAGAAAAACCTTTTTGGCAAAGTCCGCAACAATATCTGGATTTCCACCTATCTGAAGGACGTCTTACCAACTATCTTTAACACAAGATGTCAGCTGATTTTAACGAGAAGCAAGGGGGAAAAAAACATGAATAAACAACTTCTACATTCAGGAAGGACATAAAGTAGTGTAGCTAATGAGCATTTAACTGAGTTATCTGCTCTACGGTTTTAAAATTAATTTTGAGAGCCTACCTACCAATAATGTACCCAACACTAGCAGCTTCAGAAACACTTATCTACTCAACAGTCGGTGTTCAAAGACTTAGAGAAAAGCTGTGAAGCAGAAACATATACAAGCTGCTCATGAACTGCTACGTGCAGTAAGCCGCTCTGTGTGATGAGAGTATTTTTTAACATGCTGCTCTCAATTATACCATATAACAGATTCCTTAAAAAACTGAGAGAACCCCTGTTTTATGGTAACTATCTGGCTTACCTGCTCAAACTGGTAAATTATTGTCTGGTAATTTCACCCCTTCAAAAAAACATGTCTGTACATATTTATTTAGGTGGACCTAGTTGAATATTTATTAGTCATCACGACCCATAACTCCCTCGGAGTTCAAAACAGAGTTATGATTAGTACAATTAAAGAAGAGACAAGTCTACTTTAATACCTTCCTCTTCTTTGTGCGGTTATGGTTTGATGATAAGAGACAACAAACCACTCAGAGTTCTGTTCTGTGATGTGGGGGGAGGTGTGTGACCTGAGGCGTAAAATCAGTAATGAACCCTTTTTCACAAGTCAGTACAACCTTCTCACAGAACCAGTCAGGTTCGACTGTCCAAGTTTACCTCAGTTTGCTTCATTTGTCACAATTGTAACTGAGCTGCTAACTAGCCCCCGCTGCTCTCCTTCCACAGTCCTCACCTCTGCAGCGATCATAGCTGTATATTGTGTTTCTCCTGTAACCCAAGCAACTAGACCTCTAAAAATAACTTTGGACTGATGTGGATCAGCCACTTTCGCTGTGACCTGTAATTCCCCACATGTGAGGAAGGAAACGTTTGAAACAATACACAATTACAAACGTTTTCTTTTCACTTTCTTTGAATTAATTTGGGAAAACCTTGCATTTCTTTCTCAGGTACAGAGAAAATGTGTAGGAGCTGTGTGCAGCAGATTTTGCAGGTGTTCTCATCATGCTATACCACCTGATGATGCAATTTATTCTATTTTTAACCAAGTTAGATAAAAAATAGAAGTTAGGCTTTATTGCACATACGTTTTAAATTAGATATATGTTGTAATATTTAACATATATTGTAAGTTTGTTGTATAAAGCGAACAGATGCCAAATTCTATGTGATCCTGTCTATCGGAAACAGTGCTATTGTATTTATCCCTTGCACAAATGGCGGCATATTATAAGATTTTAGTCTTCATTATTGCAGGTCACTGGCACAAAATAAAAAATAATTACCTACATGGTTTAATGGTGACAAAAAATTGCTTCTCCTGTTTGAAATGGATGTAATTCTGACCTACAGTGATGTTTAACTGGTAAGATTAAGCTCAATATGACTGTATAGCATCAATAACTTGAGATATGTTTAGCAGTATTTTATCAAAGGCTGTAATACAACTCTTATGGTGTAGTAATTAAAATATTTTGATTAAAAAAATATTCCTATCACCAAACTTGTGTCATGCAAAAATATGTGAGTTTATGTAAATAATGAAAATATTTAGTCTACATTAATGCCTTAAACAATTCTCTTTGCTTACTTGTGCAGGACTGCTATCTCGTTCTCAATGCTGTTCTCTTTGCCTTCCAGCGCCTTCTTGGGGATGCACTTGATGGCCACCAATTGGTGCGTCCTCTTCTCCTCGCCCAAGACCACCTCGGAGAAAGCTCCCCTGAAACACACACAGGTCAGCCAGCCTGACCTCAGTCATTCATCATCAGGGTTCAAGAAGCGTTCCTCGCATGCATCCAAAACATCATAAAAAGGAAACTTTAATTTTGTAACAAATGCTCTTCTTACATTTATGTGCTGGTAAATATTTTAGCCATTATTACTGATGCCAGACTGCGTTTATTTTTAACCATAGTCTTCTGGTGAAGGCTCTGAGATGCTGACTCGAGCGCTGGTGAGCCTGTAAGCTGGTGGGATGATTTGGAAGACCTGGTATTGAACACTGAGGTTTAAATCTCTGACTCATGAGACGGCCATCAATCCCTTGGATGCACATTTAAACACGTTGCATGCGGAGGCGTCTGTGGCCCATACAGCGAACTCCATGCATGACTCTATGACGCAATATTCACCCAGTTTCAGTAGTAAAATCACTTAAGAAATGGGTTCAACACAAGTTTTACATGTACAAACACTAAGCTCCAGATACATCAATAGTTTTGCAGGTGCGAGTTCAGATTTTTTGCTTTGGTCGAACTCACAAAGCCCTAACAGGGAGAGCTTTGCACCTCTGATTTGGCTGTCAACCACTCTGCGGTCTCTCTGCTCGTGCACTTTGTCCACATTTAAATTTGGGTATTAGGCATGCACTTAGAGAACAACAATCCCATATCTATGTAAATAATTGCCATGGCAAAATGCATCTGACTGTCAAAGACCGGCGCTGTTTGCAACACGCATTTAGAGTCATATTTACAGCCTCTTGAGAGCAGGTGGCATTTACCTTTATAAAAAGTGAAAAACTTTAATCAACATGTTGCTCTAACAAAAACAGCAGAGGCATGTCAGGAAAAATGTTATTAATCAGACATGATTGTATCTACAAATAAATTGTCCAAAAATGTGTGCAGAATACCAAACCTTCAGATTATAACCCATTTCAACACACTGCTTCACACACAAAGATCCAGATCTAACAACTAGAACCCAAAATAAATATTCTGTGGGATTATTTATTTATTTATTTATTTTAAACATGTCAGATTTTTTTTTTCTGAATTCTGTCATTTGGACCAGGACCCAAAGAAGTCTGGCCAAAGAAAACTTTGCGTCAGTCATTTAAACTTCTGGCTCACAGTTACACACGTCCGTCAGCACTGGTAGGATTAGTGGCACAGCGGAATTAAGACACTGGGAAGAATGTCGAGGGTTGGGATAAAGCAAACGTAAGAACCTCAATTACTCTTAAGCTTCATTAGAGGCTTTCAGACATGCTACCTGAGATCTTATTGTTAGCCATGCGTGAACAACACATACCGGTAACTTTACTGAGAATATTTATATGGAAAAGTGAACTCTAAAAGGATTAATTCTATAACCGATGAAATTACACCATGTGTTATGTACATTGAACGCTTTTGATATCTAAAATAAACTGCAATCACAAAACATGATTGCACACAAGTACTTAAAAAGTTGACTTTTTTTGTCTTTCGGCTGCTCCCTTCTTTAGGGGTCGTCACAGCAAACTATCTCACACGAAGATTTGACAAATGTTTTTACGCCGGATGCCCTTCCTGATGCAACCACAGACCACCGAGCTACCACAGCCCTCTGTGTGGAACAGAGAGCTGCTATCTAGGGCGCCCGGGGGAGCAGATGGTGGGGGTTAAGGCCCAGAGTGGGACAAATGAGGGTGGAGGCAGGTGAGTGTTTCACCTTTCCCACCCACGTTTAGATGTTGTTGTAAGGGGAGTCGAACCGGCGAACTTCCGATCACAGGCCCACCTTCTCTAACCTCTGCGCCACCACTCCCTTAGTCCCCTAGACTAAATTAACATATTGTGCACTTTATCAAGTTTAAATATTTTATGAGCACACCGCCTGTAATTATGTTATCAATATAATTCAGTGAGCAAAAATGAAGTTACTATAATCTTATGTGTACGCTTAGATTTTAGCCCAGGACTATTCAACTAAATTGCTCAGGGGGGCCACAGTTACTGGAAGCCAAGAGCTCAGGGGCTGGACATCCAGCAGTTATTGTTATTAAGTAAGTTTGTTTTATGGTTTAAAATCTAGTTTTATTTAAAAATGAACCCATTCGTGGGCCGAACTGAGCTCACCTGTGTGCCTAATTTGGCCCTTGGGCCACCAGTTGAATAGCCCTGTTTTATCTCTTGCATCTATGCTGCTAAAGTTTGAATGAATAAGTGGACTACGCTTTACCAAAAGGGACTTTTCATCTTTGTGATGAAAATGTTGGATATGTTACGTGCCTGGTTCTACTAAAACTTAAACTTAAAGCCTTAAATATATATTATTTGCCTCTACTGATCAATAAAATGTGACAGATAATTCACATTAGACAAAATATTCCACTTTTTGTGTCATGGCTGGTGGTGGAAACTCCAAAGTGCAAACAGACAACTCGAGGAACTCAGGAGTAACTTTAAATATATTTTTAATAAATATAAGGAAAATCTGACGAGGCAGCGGAGTACTTAAACACAGGGATCACAAGGGCAACAAAAACAGACTGTGAAGCACAACTGGGGAGAATGCAAGGTGTAAGCATATATAGACAGACTAATGTGTAAAACAGCTTATACCTGTGAAGGAACAACAGGAATCAGGTGAGAGTGGGCGAGGCAGGAGCAGAATAATCTCAAAGGAAAACTCTGGGAAGAACTAATAAACACAAGAGGCTGAAAATGTACAAACCAAGGATCATAGTAAATAATTAAAATATAACACAATCCGCATAACCTGAAGAGTATAACGTTTCTGAATGAATGTGGTCACATCTGAGAATAAACTTTCCTCCATCATTCAATTAATACCAACTCATAATAAACAAGTTTTTGTGTTTAAAAACTGTTTTATGTTACTTTACGTGTTATGCACACTAAAGATACATGTTGGACGTAGCTCCATGTCCAAACGTGTTTCTATCTTCATAGAAACCTGCCGTGCCGAGCTTGAGGGTAAGTTTCAAACTGCTGTCAAATCTCGACATATCTGTCTTTCTGCAGCAGCAGCTAAAAATGTACGTGTGGGCAGAGGTGAACCACAGCCCTACTGTCAGTAGGCTCTACATTTACAGGCAAGGAAGGACCGCACAGCGTCATTTCAAAAAGAAGCAGACACCAACAAACTGGAGACTGAACAACACTCGACTGTGTATAAAGCAAATGCAATCTTGACATAGTCTTACGTTACCTCTGCATTTCAATTCAGTTTATTTATAAAGCGCCAAGTCACAACAGAAGTCGTCTCAAGACACTGAACAGAAACATTCAAATAATAATAATTTAACACTATTTATCTGAGGAGCAGACTGCTTTGAATTTAACGCCATCGCAGAACTCTCATCTTGAGCAAGCATGAAGGCGACTGTGGAAAGGAAAAACTCCCTCACGAAGAGGAAACCTTTAGCAGAACCAGGCTCAGGACAAGCGGCCATCTGCTTTGACCAGCTGGGTTTGAGAGGAACAGATACACAATGGCAGGTCAAGAATCACATGTTAAAGATAGAAATAGTATAAATTGAAAACTTTTCAATTAAGGAAACAAGGTCAATTTGTCCTCCAGTTGTCTATGCTTAAAGCAGCATAACAAGCCAACCCTAAGTATAGGATTTATCAAAAAGGAAAGTCTTCAGCCCAGTCTTAAAATTGGACAATGTGCCAGCCTCATGGACAGAAACTGGAAGTTGGTTCCACAGGAGAGGAGTCTGATAACTGAAAGATCTTCTGTTAGGAAAATATGGAGCAACAAGATCTCGAATATAAGATGGAGCTAGGTTGTTGAGAGGTTTGTAGGTTACAAGTAAGATTCATACATTTCAGAATTTACTGTTTAAACCAAATAAAAAGGCTCTAACAAAACTGCTATATGTGGTAGCTCCTGCTGCCAATGTCTGCATTTGCAAATAAGTATAGAAATGTGTGTAAAATATACATAATAACTATCCATCCATCCATCCATTTTCTTTACCCGCTTATTCCATTTTGGGTCACGGGGGTCGCTGGTACCCATGTCCAGCAATCACTGTGCGAAGGGCGGGGTACACCCTGGACGGGTCGCAAGTCCATCACAGGGCCACATAGAGACAAACAAACATTTACTCTCTCACTCACACCTAGGGACAATTTAGAGTTACCAATCAGCCTAACATGCCTGTTTTTGGTCTGTGGGAGGAAACCGGAGTACCCGGAGAAAACCCACGCATGCACGGAGAGAACATGCAAACTCCACCCAGAAAGGCCCCTGGACCGGGGTTTGAACCAGGGACCTGCTCGCTGAGAGGCAGCAGCTCTACCAGTTGCGCCACCGTGCTGCCTCATAATAACTATAATAATGTTAAACTGATGGCAACAAGTTTTATTAAATGACATTGACATTAACTGCTCAAGTGTAAGTTGCATTAACGTGGCAGCACCTCACTTTGGTATTGGCCTCTCTCAGACTAGCCATTAATTACAAATTCTGCAGAAGTTTTTTTTTTCTTTAATAGGAGGTTGTTCAAGAACTATCTACAACAGGTAAGATAATAGTTTACAACCATTTCACAGAGCCCCACTTCAAAATGTCTGAACAGCTTTCTAATAAAGCCCTTTGATTTATTGGTCCCATTAAACCTAATGTCCTGATTCCTGCACAGATCTTTTGTCTTAAAGAGCAGAGTCAGTGGTCATTGACTCATCTCCCGATCAGCAAAACAAACTCTGTAGATCTAATTTTACAAACATTCTTCAGTGATTTTCTTTTTTATGGATTTTTGATGACAGAATTGTTTCTCACCGGCTGGACTCGACAACAACTGTATCAACTTGTGACTGTCACAATAAAATGTTCACAAGGTTTGTTCTAATACAAATAATTACATTTTAAAGAGCTTTAAAAATATTTCAAGTGATACCAAGGTCACATATGATTTAAACAAATGAACCCATTTTAAAATGCAAACTTTTGTATTGATTAATGTTCTTGAATTTA